GAAACTTGGTGATTTATACAGAAAAGAACTTCTTTTTTTGAGTTAGGATCTCACTCTGTCTCTCAGGCTGGAGTGCAGTGGTGAGATCATGGCTCACTGCAACCTTGAATTCCTGGGCTCAGGTGATCCTCCCACCTCAGCCTCTTAAGTATTTGGGAATACGGGTGCCACCAGTTAAAGTTTTTTATTTTTATTTTTTACAGAGACAGGGTCTTACAATGTTGCCCAGGTTGATCTCAAACTCATGGTCTCAAGTGATCTTCCCATGTTGGTCTCCCAAAGTGCTGGGATTATAGGCATGAGCCACTGAGCCCAGCCAGGAATTGATTTCTTAATAGAGGCCAAGAAATCAAGATCAATGGATGACATGTGGTGAGAGCCTTCTTGCTGGCAGAAACTCTACAGAGTCCTGAGGCAGCCCGATGTATCACATGGGAGGAGGCTGAGCATTCTCAGTTCCATTCCCATGATAACTCATTAATCTATTAACCCATCAATCTATGAATGGATTAATCCATTTATGACGGCTCCACCGTCATAACCCAGTAACCTCTTAAAGGACCCACTTCTCAATACTGCACACTGGGGATTAAGTTTCAACATGAGGTTTGGAGGTGATATTTAAGCTATAGAAGTACCCATGACACAGTGTTGCCATTAATGTGTTTTCAAGTAAATCTTCATTCTACTGTCATTAAAGCACAAGGGCTGTGTCTTAACTCACTTTTTAATAGCTTGTTTTATATTTTTCGTAGAGATGAGGGGGCTCTCACTATATTGCCCAGGCTGGTCTCAAACACCTCATTTCAAGTGATCCTCCTGCCTCAACCTCTCAAAGTGCAGGGATTACAGATGTGAGCCACCATACCTGGCTTTTTAATAGATTTTAAAAGATATAATTTACATACAGTAGGGACCACCTGTTTAAAGTTAAAAGCAATTCAATGACTTTTAATAAATTCACAGAGTTACGTAACCATTATTAGAATCGAATGTTAGAACATTTCTGTTATCCCCCCAAAGGAAATATTGTATTTCTTATCAATCACTTCCTTTCCTCTTACCCACCCTATTTCCAACTCTTAGCCCTGGGCAGCCACTAATCCATATTCTGTCTTTATAAATTTGCTTTTTCTGGACATCTTCCATAAATATTATCAGTAATTTATTTTTTGTGTAGCCTGTTCAGACATACAGTAGGTGATTAGGAAATATGTACTCAATGAGTGAGTGAGGATACAAAAGATGGAGAAACTGACAGAAAATCTGTATTCTAGTCCTAGTTCTGTCCTTTATATATGTAACCTAGAGAAAAATCACTTGCCCTTTCAGATGCTCAGCTTTCTAATCTGCAAAGGAGGGTTAATCATATCTGCTGTCCTTATGCCAAAAGGTCATGGTGCGGGTCAAATGAGAAAACTCACTTGGAAGTGTTTTGTATATTTAAGTATTCTATATAGATGTAAGAGTAATTTAAATTTGTGTCTACTATCATTCCTTGAAATACCTATAAAAACAGATGACCTATTACACCAATAACAGAGAGGAAGGCAAAAACAACAGAGTTCAAGCACCAACCAGTGGACATATGCCCCTCGTCCCTTCTCCTGGAACGTTTGCAGTTAATTCAGGAAAAAGGTCTTAAAATTACAGGTATCCAACTTCTGTCACCACACAAGTTTCCCAGTCAAATGGGGAGATAAAAATCTGTTTTAGAGTGATTAAACTTAATTCACTGGAAGAAAAAATGATGACATAACTTTCTCTTATCTTTTCACTTTCAGGAAGTTCTAATTAACATGCTCATTCTTCTCTCCTGCAGGGTGTTTGCATCAGTAGGAAAGAGGGGAGATTCCCGTCTAAGAGTGAGCTCTTCATTGCCTCGCCAGAAGGGGAGAAGAGACTCTTGTCCATCATGGTCCCTTTCTCTCTCTCTTGGTTTAGAGGAATTTGTAAAGGTGTGGAATGCAAGTAGATTTATTTCCCAAATGGAAAATTCAGACTCTGTAGAGAGACATACAGGACAGAGGTGGCAGGAGATTATTAGAATAAAACGTCTAAATCTAATAGCATATTTTGAAAAACAAAAAACCTGGCCTTGTATGTGAAGATTTATCCTTAGATAAACTTTTTTCCCACCCAATGTGTTTGTAAAGGAAACTCTTCAAGTTCCATCCTTTCACAGAAATTAGAAGAGTCTCAGATCTTGTTCTAGTCCAGGATGGAGTTTGGAATAAAGCTCAGGAGCATGGGAGATGCTAGGTTAAGTCTTTCATGTATTTTATGTGGGTCCTTCTCAAAATACAATGTACATAAGAATCACTTGTGACTGGACCTGGTGGCTCACACCTGTAATCTCAGCACTTTGGGAGGCCGAGATGGGAAGATCGCTTGAGGCCAGGAGTTTGAGGTCAGCCTGGGCAACATAGCAAGACTCCATCTCTAAAAAAAAAAATAAAATAATCCAGGCCTGGTGGTTCTTGCATGTAGCCCCAGCTATTTGGGAGGCAGAGGCAGGTGGATCTCTTGAATCTAGGAGTTTGAAGCTTCAGTGAGCTATGATTGAACCACTACACTCCAACCTGGGTGACAGAGGGAGATCCTGTCTCTTAAAAAAAAAAAAAATCAGCTGGGCGCAGTGGTGGCTCATGCCTATGTCCCAGCACTTTGGGAGGCAGAGGTGAGAGGATTGCCTGAGCCCACAGGTTCGAGACCAACCTGGGCAATTTGTTGAGACCTTGTCTCTACAATAAATCAAAAAAATTAGCTGGGCGTCGTGGCATGTGCATGTGCTTCCAGCTACTTGAATGGCTGAGGTGGGAGGATTGCCTGAGCCCAGCATATCAAGGGTGTGGTGGCCATGAATGTGCCACTACACTCCAGCCTGGGTGACAGTGAGACTCTGACTCAAAAAAAAAAAAAAATCACCTTGGGAGATTCTTAAAATGCATATTTGAATTCAGTAGTTTGGGGGAAGGGCTTAAGATTCTACATTCTAACAAGTAGATAGTGCTATTGCTGCTAGTTCATGGGCCACACTTGGTGAGCAAAATCGCATGGCGTAGCATCTTCATGGTCCTAGGAGGACTCTGTTTTACAGAGGAGGAAGCTGAAGTTCAGTCTTCCTGGCTCAATCTCTTTTTTTTTCTTTTCTTTTGAGTTAGAGTCTCACTCCGTTGGCCAGGCTAGAGTGCTATGGCATGCTCACGGCCACCCCAGCGTCGACCTGCTGGGCTCAGGCAACCTTTCTGCCTCAGTCTTCCAAGTAGCTGGAACTACAGCATGTGCTACCATGCCCAGCTAATTTTTTTTTAAATTGTAGAGACAGGTCTCAACAAATTGCCCAGGCTGGTCTTGAACCTGTGGGCTCAGGTCTCAGCAAGTTGCCTGGGCTGGTCTTGAACCCACAGGTTCACGCAATCACTTGCTTTGGTCTCCTAAAGTGCTGGGATTACAGGCTGAGCCACTGAGCCTGGCCGCTCAATCTCATTTTAAACCCAGGTCTGCCCGCCTCCAAATCTTGTACTCCTAACCAGAATCTCAACTGATGTTGGGCCAAGGTCCCTGAGTTCTCTCCTTGTCCTCTCTTCCCGGGTAGTGATGAGCTCATCTCAGGCTGAGGCCCAGGCACGTGTTTGCCTGGAGTCTCCATGTTATATTATTCCTTCCTCAGGCAGGGTGAGCTACTCACGAACTCAGGCGTATCCTGGAGCCTGCAGAGGTGTCTCCATGACCTCATGCTTCTGTTCTAGCCTGCCCTGTTAACAGCTCATCCCACCGGCCCTCCCTACCTGCCACAGATAGTGTCTAGGATTGCAGTGGCCCTGGGACTCACTTTCTTTTTTTTTCTTTTTTTGAGTTGGAGTCTCACTCTGTCGTCCAGACTGGAGTGCAGTGGCCACTCCCGGCCACCGCGGCCTCGACCTGCTGGGCTCCGGCAATCCTTCCGCCTCAGCCTTCCGAGTAGCCGGAATTACAGGCATGCGCCACCACGCCCGGCTGATTTTTGATTTTTATTGTAGAGATGAGGTCTCGCTGCCTAGGCGGGTCTCGAACCCACAGGCTTGGACAATCCACTCACCTCAGCCTCCCAAAGGCGCGGGATTACAGGCTGAGCCACTGAGCCCGGCAACTTCACTCTCAACTTCCTGCCTTAGCTGTCTGCTGTCCTCTCCTCCTCCTTCAGCCATGGCCCCAACACCCTTACCTGGTCTTCTTTTCTGTCTTATCACTGTCTCTTGGTATCTTCATTCCACAGGAGCTAGGGATTTTTAGTAATGCCCTAGATCCTCAAGAGGAACAAAGAGTGTGCTGTGGACCCCTGCCCGGGATTCAGGGCAAGACTCAGGCCCTCCAGGAACACAGGACTCGCGCTGGTGGCAGCTACAGCAGGACAGGCTGCTGGCCAGGGGTTGCAGGCGAGTATTCTGTTTGCTTAAGAAAACAAACGACACTGAGTGTGTGATTGAGGGAGAGGGTGCTTGTGCCAGAGAGATTGGAGAGAGTCTACCAAGTACCGGTCGCCCCAGTAACCCCTGTTCCTCTGTTCTTTCTTCTCCACGGAGCTAGCGGAAGTTATCCTGCCCCTTATGTCACATTCCTACACCTGTTCCTTTTGCCTGGACCCAGGTTGAAGGAAGCTCATAGAATGTTTGAACAGGGGAGTAACTTAGACCAAGGTGCAGCAAACTCTTCCTGTAAAGGACCAGATAATAAATATTTTAGGATCTGTGGGCCAAATGGTCTCAGTCACAACTACTCATCTGTGACTTTGCAGCACAAAAGCCGGCAGAGACAATATGTAATCAAACGGGCTAGGCTGTGACCCATTCAGACTTTATTTATGGACACTGAAATCTGAATTTCACACAGCTTTCATGCAAAATATTGTCTTCCTTTCTTCCTTTTGATTTTCCCCCAATCAGTTAAAAATGTAAAGACAATTCTTAGGTTGCGGGGCTAATCTCTTCTTAGCTTTGGTTGATGCCCTCATTGGACACATGGGGATGCTGAAACCCGAGCGCACCTTGCTAGTGGAGGTATGGTCAGAGCACTTGGCTGCACTGGCACTCCTGACATGCCACAATGCCTGTGTCCCATGGGTGGTTCCAGGCAGAGCAACAAAGGCCAAGGCCAACCCACCAGGATACCAGAATCCTCCAGTTTTCCAGTCTTGATCATGCCTACGCTTCCATATTCTTCCTGGTTTCCGAAACCTAAGGAGAGGCATATTTTGGTTGAATGATTGTAAGCTCAGGGACTGTGGGTGGCTGCGTGTCAGGAAGCACTCCTAAAATTCCTGGCCCTGATGAATTGATTAAAGGAGAGGTACTTACAGGCTAGTCTTGCCTGTGGGCTATTATCCTATCACTCACAGGGCATGATTATTAGATTATTTCGACAGTAAGGAGACTGGTGTACTCTGCAAAATAATAACGTATTTATGTGTGTACACGTTTACCAATCATGGATGCAGTAAACTGACACTCAGGGAAGCTAGGGGACTTGCCCTTGGTCACATAGCCAGTGGCAGAGGCTGCACTCGGATCCAGGTTTTATCTCACGTCAGGGGCTGCATTCCTCATTGTCCTATTGTCTTAAAGTGAAAGGTGACGAGGCAATGAAGTAATTCTCTAGGAAAGCATGAACAATTTCCCTTTCTCCACCTCCCTCTTCTTCCTCTGCCCCTCCCCCCTCAGTCCCCATATATACATCCAAATCTCCACAAAGCTTTGCTTGTCTGCACACCTTCACCTTTAAACTGACTTTCACAGCTGGGCCAGGAACCTTCCATCCACAGCTACACCCCTGACTGGTGAATGGTGAGGGTGCCTGCCCAACTTTCCCCTTCTGCAAAAAGACCAGCCACCTCCGGACAGCTGGCCCTCAAGCATTCCTTATAGGATCTGAGGTAAGCAATGGGGATTCTTGAGTACTTTGCTGTGAAGCCCTAGACTGCTGCCATATTTGGAAATGGAGGTTGGTGGGGGAGGGAGAGGTCAACTTTTTGAGTGTTTATGGAAGGATAAGTCGTGACTGCATGAGGAGCTGCTTGTCCAGTTTAACAACAAGAGGAATCGAGCCTTGTTGGAAAGAGGCCAGGGGGTCTAGGAGACCCAGAGAGGAATTCTCAAGAGATGCTACAAAGCCTGTGGAGTTTGAAAGAATTGACTAAGAGAGACACTGAAGCTCAGATCATGTGACAGAGGATAGCGCTGCCAGCCCTGGGTACCGCCTCCAGTGTTGGCTGTTGCTCCAGAAACAGGTCTTCTCTGTTCTTCCTCCCAGTCTAGATGTGGGGAGTAGTTTCTTCAGGTGTGAGGCCAGCGCCTGGAATAAGAAAGGGTTTAAATGATTGTGGGAGGAAGTAAGAAAGAAAGGGAGAAGGAAAGAAAGAGAGGGAGGAAAGAAGGGAGGGTGGAAGGAAGGAATGAAAGAAAGAGTGAAGGCAGGCAAAAGGCAAAGAGAGAAGGCGCTGGAAAGAAATTCTCTGCATACAATTACAATAAATAGATAATGGTGTTAAGTTCCTCTAGCTTGGAGGCTCTTCACGCAGTCATTCCCAATTGGCACTTTACAGGAAGGTTTTAAAGATGATTCATCTAGAAATCTGATACCTCCCTCTTATTCATTTACTTAAAAAGTAAATGCTTAGAGTCAAAAGTTGAGTGAGTCACTTGAGGTGGCACAGTGGATGTGTGACCCTGACCTGCCCTTTGTGCCCCTCCCAAGGACCAGGACTAACTTCTCCAACCCTTGTGATGAGGAGTCAAGGCTGGCCACCTCTGGGGAGGACAAAAAGTCATCTGTGTGCCTGGTGACTTAAGGGTAGAACTCAGATAAGCACATGTCTAGTTAAGCACACATCCATCCTCCTGGATTTAGACTCCCTAGACATAGTCTTTGGCACATTAGATCCCCCATTCCTTCACTCTTCTTGGTTAAATTTTGACTAGCAAGTTGGAAACTAGAGATAAGAGTAACAGAGATGGAAGGAGTTCCAGGGTTTGTGGGTACAGATGGCCAGAATGGGGAAGGGCAGGCAGAGAGATGGCAAGTCCAGCCAGCATGAGATTGAAGAGTAGAAAGACCCCCGCTTCACCTCACTGCACCCCAGCAAGGCCACAAGTTTGACACTTTTAAGCCAGGGGACCCACCTTAGTCTCAGGTTTCCCATCCATGTGCCCTGAGGTTGACCTAGGCAGATCCAAAGAGCATTAATTGGGGATATACCAGGCCCGCTGAGAGGGCCTGTCTCAGGGATGCCTCCCTGTCTTCCAGCAGGCCCTCCTGTCTTCCTTTGCTGGCAATGGGCTCCCGAATGCAGATGGCTGCCCTCCCTTGTCTGGGTCTCATCCTCCTTCTCTGGAGTCAGGTGCCAGGGGCCCAGGGCCAAGAATTTCGATTTGGGCCCTGCCAAGTGAAGGGGGTTATGCTCCGGGAACTGCAAGAGGCCTTCTGGGCTGTGAAGGACACTGTGGTGAGTAGCATTGCTTGGGACCCAGCTGCAGGGGTTACAATGGAGGGAGGATACGGCTTTATGATCACTGAGCTCTCCGCAGCTTGCTAGTCAGTTTTCCATATGATAACTCTGGGAAGTCAGAAGGTGCCACAGACTCAGGAAGATGTGACCAACCTTTAGTAAAATAGCCAGAGCCCAAGGGAAAGAAAGAGCGCTTGATTCACCAAGGCTCATCCTGGATGGGTTCTCTGGCTCTAAATCCAAGAACTAGGATGAGCAACTGGACTGTGGAGGGAGCTCCCAGGGTAAGGGGCAGCTCTGGGGTGCAGCTGGTCCTCCCCCACCCTCCCCTTCTCACTATGTGGAACATGGAGGCAAAATCCTGACCTTAGTGGTTCTTAAACCAAATAGGTTTATTTTGTCCTGTTTCAAAAGACCCAAGGAATCAAACAACTCCCTCAGCAAGTTCGTGTTTAGGTTCTAAGAACTCCTGGAATTCCATTTGCCCCGGGGGTGGGGTGGAGGGATTGGTCAAGCTTAGTAGTTTTCTATAGCTGGAACCTTGTGCACTGCCCCCAGGGGCCAGCTCAGCACAGCCCTTCCTAGTTTCTCCTCTGGTCCCTCTGGCCTCTCACAGATTGGATAGATTTAGGAGTCTGAGAAAGCAGCGCATATTTGCAAAGTCAGTTTCTATGCTGACTCCTAACCTGGAGACATCTTTTCTTTGTGTTCTCAAAGCAAGCTCAGGATAACATCACAAGTGTCCGGCTGCTGCAACAGGAAGTTCTGCAGAACGTCTCGGTAATCAGACCTTGGGGAAGGACAAACCCTCTGTGGGGCTGGTCTACTATGGGTGGGCATGGGGGATCATCACAGGGGAGGCTGATGGAAACCTTCAGTCTTGGACTGGCATTACACAAGACAGGGGTGGGCAGTGAGCCAGGAAAGTCAGTGTCTGGGGTTATCACTATGTGGTATGTGTGTGCTGTGTTATGGGGAGGCGGTGGGGATTGAGGCTTGTAAGCATCTTTCTCCACTGAACTAGAGAACTGTCACCTATCTTCTATTTTTATTTCTCTTTGGTTTGCGTAGACCCAATGGGCATCTACTCTCTTCCATTTCCTTCTTTTTCCCTCACCCATTCCTGTCTTCTCATTATCCATCTAGTCAGTCAGTAACAAACGTACTGAGCCCTGATCCCTGAAAGGTGCTGCTCCCCACAGTGCTAGAGTGCAATTGCTGTGTTCAAGGACGTTCATTTCTCCTTATTTCTTCTGTTTCCAGTCATCTCCCCACCAAATCTCAACCAACAAGTCCAAGGTCAAGTGCTTTTCAGGGTCTATCACCTCCTCGTAGATATTAGAGAGGCTGTGTGGTGTAGAAGAAAGAAAATATTAACCAGATGGGCGGTCCGGAGTCCTGGGAGCTGGGCTTTGTGTTTGCTACTGACTGGCTGTTTGATCTCAGGCAGGCCACTTCTCTCTCTGAGTCTGGGTTCCTCCTGTAACACAAAATTGCTGATCCACATAGCCCCATCTGATCTAAGGTTCAACATCACCTCTTAGAAGGTCCCTGCCTCTTTTGTGCTTATCTTGCATGGGGAGGCTTTGGGTTGTTCCTTGGGGGCCAGGGTGGGCAAAGGCTCAGCAGTGACCCAGACCCTCCCCAGGATGCTGAGAGCTGTTACCTCATCTATGCCATGCTGAAGTTCTACTTGAATACTGTTTTCAAAAACTACCACAATAGAACAGTTGAATTCAGGATCATGAAGTCATCTTCTTCTCTGGCCAACAACTTTATTGTCATCATGTCACAACTGCAACCCAGCGTGAGTAGCACAGGCTCTGGACACCGGCAGTTCTGGGTTCAAGTCTAGATCTGCTTCTAATCAGTTGGGTGACTCTTTTCAAGGTTCTCAACCTCTCTGGGCTTCAGTTTTGTAATCTGTAAAATGGGGATGATCACTCCTACCTGGCAGGATTGTGTGAGAATTAAAAGATGCACCCCCTGCCACATGGTAGGAGTTCAGCATTGGCTACCCTTGAGGATGCAGAATTTGGCCCTGTCCACTCAGGCCTTGGGAGCACCAGGAAGAGTGGAAGTAGCTTGCTTCTGCTCCCACCTAACACTTGACACAACTTTTTCCCTCCTGTTATACAGCAGGAAGATGAGATGCTCTCCATCAGTGAGAGTGCGCATAGGCGATTTCTGCTGTTCCGGGGAGCATTCAGACAGGTAAGGTCTTGCCCATCCAACAGAAGTAGACTAGCCTGAACAGTCACACGAGGGCGCCTCAGAGACTAATGCAGAATTTAATGCAGGGGACTCCTCCAGGCTTGCCCAAAAGCCACCGGCTAAGCAGGGGCACAGGTATATTTGCATCAATTGCCATAATGCATAAGCATCACAAACTCAGTGGCCCTTTTTTCTGCCAGCTTTTCAAGTTAAAATGCTATTATATTTCCCTACAAGATCATTTCACTTGCTTTCACAGGTTTTCTCTGTGAGAGTGTTTTATGGGTACTCTAGGCAGGTACCTGAAGTAAGGGAGAAAAAAGAAAGATACCCCACCTCCACCCCATACACATCTGCAATATTTTCCATAATGCTCAAGGGGTCTAGTTTGTGAAAAGAAATTAAGGGAAACTATATTGACTTTTCCCAAATTAAGACAACAAAGAAAACTCAAATTTCATTCCCAATCACTCCTTTAAACAAATATGATTTTGATCCCTTTTTTGAGGAACGGATACATCAACCTATAAATAAATGGTGAACAGCAATGACATGTGACAGAGAGGAGCCACCTGGGCTCATCTCCTCATCCACACAGTAGACTCAGGTGGTAGGCCACATCCACTCCACGCTGATATCTGTGGCATCTTATTGTTAGAGGTACCAGAGGCTTTCTGCTTCCTCCTTGCTGTCTGCTACTCACTAGTTCACTAATCCTCACCCCAGAAGCAGACAAACACTCACAGATGGGGGACAATTGAGGCAGGTGAGTCGTTTGTAAGGTGAGCTGGCCCATGAACGGAAGTCAGGCCTGTTCTAGGCACGGCAGGTTGGGAGGAAGACTACACTTATAGCTAACATGGCCAACCTTCAACTCTCCTTCCCCTTAACCTTCAACTCTCCTTCCCTTTAGTTGGACATCGAAGCAGCTCTGATCAAAGCCTTTGGGGAACTGGACATTCTCTTGGCCTGGATGGAGAAATTCTACCAGCACTGAATGCCTAGACCAGGATCCCCTCCTGGTCTGCTCCCTGTGTTATTTCAGTGGGTGTCCCTTCCTGTGTTGTTCTCTGGGCACTTCATATCCTTGGCCATGGATCTCCTTCTTGGCCCAAGTTTATCATCAGACATCTTTCTTTAAGCAGCCCAGTGACAATCATGGAAGACTCCTATGGATGCTGTGAATAGTATACAATGAGAATGCCTGTATTTATTACAACTCTATTTAATTATTGTCAGTGTTTCAACTGAAGTTATATTTATTTGTGAGACTGTAAGTTCCATAAGGCAGCAGAGTATTGTGCCCATCTTTCTCTTTTAACTCTCCATGATCCTTCCCACAGTGTGGGACCATGGGTGGATGCTCAATAAATACTCAATAAACTGTGGTTTTTGTTGTTGTTGTTGTTGTTTGCCTTTCTTTGGATTGTTAAGAAAAATGAGGGATGCTGGGATACAAACTTAAACTTTAGGGCATGGAACTCACACTGGCTTATGACGTCTGCAGGGACAGAGCTTTGGAGGGTGGGTGAGGGGCACTGGTTTAAAAAGTAAATGATAAAAAGTGAAATTGTAAGTTAAAGTGTCCAGCACAAAGCAGATGCTCATTAAACATTTCATTTCCCGTTCATACTACCAGCCCCACCCCACCATCCCTTTCTTTTGGGTGCCCTCCTTTTCTTGTCCTAGTCATTCTTTCCTTATCTGTTACTTGAGAGGGTGCCAGTGTCAAGCTGACATTGCTGAGGCTGCCATTGTACCTGGAGGTACTGTCCAATCTGTGATGATGTTCCAAATGAATAAAAGGCAACACAACTCAAGTCTGACAGCCTTTCCTTTCTGTTTCTGGACAAGTGCCCCCTGTGACTGTACTGCATAGCTGAGAAAGGACTTCTTCCCAATAGCAAGACTGGGCATCCTATAGTTACCAGCTCTGGCTGAACTTTGTAGCTGACATCAATCTAAAGATATAATGTTCGACTATGACCTTGCTCCACAAATTTAAGAGAAATAGCATATGTAGGAGGTGGGTGGGATGCCTCTTCTTCCATGACATAAATTCATTTCCTGCTCAGAAACTCCTGCTGCCTTGCTATTGCTTTCCTTCCCTGCCTTGCTATTTGTTGTCTGGAACTGGCCAAGAGATGGGGTGCATTCTGAAAGCACAGGGAGATGCAATAGTTTTGGATGGCTAAAATAGACCAAAGTTAATTGCATCAATATCAGTGCCAGGTTATGGAAGAAGGATAAGGAAATGACAAAGACTATTTCTAAAAGAGGGAAGATGCTGAGGTCAGGGTACTTATGTGCATCAAGTAGGGAGACAGAATAAAGAGGACTCATGGATATATATGCATATCTCATTAGCACTAACAAGCTTAGCTTTGAAAATTTAGAATACGGCCGGGCTCGGTGGCTCAGCCTATAATCCCAGCACTTTGGAAGGCTGAGGTGAGTGGATTGCCTGAGTCCGCGGGTTTGAGACCTGCCTGGGCAACTTGACAAGACCTCATCTCTACAATAAATCAAAAAATCAGCCAGGTGTGGTAGCACGCGCCTGTAATTCTAGCTACTTGGAAGGCTGAGGCGGAAGGATCGCCGGAGCCCAGCAGGTCAAGGCTGCGGTGGCTGGGAGCGGCCATTGCACTCCAGTCTGGGTGACAGAGTGAGACTCCAACTCAAAAAAGAAAATTTAGAATACATCATTACATCAAAGCAGATTGTCCTTACCATGGGATGTGAGATAAGCAGAAGCTCACTGGTAAGTGCCAATCTTCAGATCAGGGCAAGACATTCCCAGGGGTCTTTTCATACCAGGTTCCTGCCTAGCTCATGGGGCTAAGGCATATCCTTATGATATAGACCAAGAACCTTCCATTTGTGAGGCCCAGGCCTCACAGCTGTTGCCTCTGCTCTATAGCAGCGATCTCCAACTTTTTTTGGCATCAGGGACACGTTTCGTGAAAGACAATTTATCTACAGGATGGGAGGTGGGGGGGCGGGGAGGGGATATGTAGTCAAACCTCAATGCTGATGTTCATCTGTATTTGCAGCTGCTCCCCAGTGCTAGCATCATTGCCTCAGCTCCACCTCAGATCATCAGGTGGAGGATGCAGGATTTGGCCCTGTCCTCTCAGGCCTTGGGAGCCTCTCTGATGTCACCAGGAAGAGCGGGAAGAAGTTAGATTCTTATAAGGAGCGTGCAACCAAGATCCCTCATATTTGCCGTTCACAATAGGGTTCACACTCCTATGAGAATCTAATACCAACACTGATCTGACAGAACATAAACTTCACTTGTCTGCTGCTCACCTCCTACCGTGTGTCCTGGTTCCTAACAGGCCACAGACTGGTACTGGTTCATGGCCCGAGAGTTGGGGACCTCTGCTCTAGAGTCAAGACTGGGGCAGCAATGACCCTGTGGTCAAAGACATTGAGGAAACACACCCTGCAAATCCCACAGCCTGTTAGATGGCTTGGAAAGGGAAGCAGCTGGCATTGGAACAAATGTTCTGAATGCCCAGAGCCCACCTGACAAGCACAGGGGGCTACAAATGTGTGCAAGAGGAGCTGAGGGTAGAGCCGTGCTCAGGGCACAGATAGACAGGGAGGAGAGTTGAGTTGGGGTGCAGGAGGTGAGAAGTGCTCTGAGAACAAATGAAACAGGCATCAGAAATCAGCAGACAGACAAGATTTATTGGCACCGTGGTCTGGGCCCAGGGGGATAGGTGGGGAGGTGAGTCAGGCAGGAATATTGATGTAGTCGTCTGCATCAGTGTCCTCCATCTTGGCAGCAGGCTGGTGGTAGAGGCTCACATATTCACAGCTGGTCTTCAGAGACAGAGCCTGGGGCCAGGGAGATTCAGACACCTGGGAACAATCAGAGAAGCATCACTGGATCTGGGTAAGGTGATTTTAGTATTTCTCCAGGTGAATTTCCACAGTAGGCAACAGGGGGCATGGGTGTGACTGCTGAGTTCCAGAAGGCAAAGACACAGGCACCTGAGCTCCATCAAGTGGGCCAGCCCTGGGGTTTTTCAGGGTGGTGTCTCACTCTAAATAAGTGGAAAACACTGAGGTCTAATGTGGACAGGAAATGCCATTAAATGGGGATCATACCAAACTTGTGTGGCTAAGCATAGGTCTGAGGAGACCCAACTAGCAGAGGTGTATCCCCTCAGGGATAAGATGATGTGACTTGTGGAATAAATATGCATCTTCTTAGGGAGTTATTCAGAAATAGGATGAGTCACCCTCCATACTTCTGTAAGGCCTCAGAGAGCCATGACGTGGCATGACAATGCATTCCAGGAAGGGGCTGGGTGGTGAAGGAAGGAAGATGGCAGACCCTGTGGGCACACAGTGCTCCTCTTCCCCAGAAAGAAGCTTCAGGATCAACTGCCTTCAGAATGGTCAGTTCTTGGAGGACAGAGCTGTGCCAATGTTCCCACATGGCACAATAACTGTAGCACCCACTGAAGAAGGCCATGGTGGAGATAGTGGGGTGGAGGGGAGACAGTCATATATTTATTTATTTTTAACTTAAAAAAATTTTTATGTAGAGATGAGGTCTCACTATGTTTCCTGGGCTGGTCTCGAACTCCTGGACTCAAGGAATCCCCCCACCTCAGCCTCCCAAAGTGTTGGAATTACAAGCATGAGCCACTGCACCCAGCCTGTCATGCATTTAAACACAAGTTCTGAGAACTGTAAGTCCAGCATCTTGTACACAGTGGGTACTCAGTAGGTTCACACTGGAAGTTTTATACTTTTTCTAAGAGGGAAGCAGCAGTAGCTTGCTTCAAAAATATATCTTCCCTATGCACCCAACATAGGCGCACCAACATTCATAAAGTAACTTCTAGGAAAACTAAAGAAAGACATTGACTCTAACACCATAATAACTGGGGACTTTAATACACCACTCACAACCTTAGACAGATCATCAGACAAAAAATCAGCAAGGAGATCCAGACCTCATGAGACTCTGGACCAAATGGACTTAATTGATACCTATA